GAAAGAAGGACGGAGTTCAGTTCCATGTGGGGCATATGGTTCCGAACGAGGTGATCAATCGTCAATTTGGGCGCCTTGCTCAACTGGAAACATTCTTGATGTCAAACATGAGCCCGCAGCGCGGCAGCCTAAATGGCGGTGTTTGGCTGGATCTTGAAGACAAGATCAGAAACATTGAAGATACAAATCAAAAGGATCATGTCTGGGCGATTGCTGGTCCGGTCTTTGGAGACGCGCCCGAAACGATTGAACGGGATGGGGTCGCTGTACCGATTCCGGAGGCTTACTACTATGTAACAGTCGATCCGTTCCAATACCCTTGGGATCGGGAGTCAAATGTCGATGTTGCATGCTTCTTGATCCCCCAAGACGCACCGCGTGGAACCTCTTTGTCTCAATATCTTGTTGATCTAATCGATGTCGAAAATGCCACGAATTTGAAGTTCTTTCCTGGCTGGCAAAACCAGATTGCCGTGGCGGGTGTAGAATCTGATCCGCGGGTGCCAGACCGGCGACACAGGCTATTGAAGCAATTGCGAAGCTAATAAGCAGCGCCTCGATCAAATCCAACCACGAGCCAACGAGCGAACGATGAGCGACAAATCTGTAAGACAAAGCCTACCAGGTTTACTTCTGGTTGCGATCGGACTGGCAGCAATTGGGCTTATCGCGGGCTACAATGATTGGGGCGCGAGTTCATTTGAAGATACAAAACTTGATAATATATTCGCGAAGCTTTTCGGATTCTTTGTCGTCGCCCTCGCTATCGAACGCGCAACCGAACTCGTCGTAATTGCCGTCCACGGTAAAAAGAAGCGAGACCTCGAGGCGGACAAGAAAACAATATTAGGCCCCATTGAGCTGCGTCGATCGCTCATGGCTGACATTAATGGCTACGATGAAGCGGCTATCGCGAAGAAAGAGAGCTTAGGCGCCTCGATCGCAAAAGACCTAGAAGACAGCGCAGTTAAGACGATAAGAGACAGAGAAGCAGATCGAAAGCGTGAAACAGAAAAGCTGTCGCTTTTTGTGAGTCTAGCCCTTGGAACACTGCTTGCGACAGTTGGCGTGCGTTTTATTGAGGCTATCGCAACCTTTCCCGAAACGCCTGGCCAAGAAGAGTTTTCCCGGNGCGGGCGTCGTGGACTACAAAATTCGGCGGTATCCTAGGACACGCGATTTCGAATAAGGCGCAATCGATACTTGGTCGTCTTGATTGCCGCCTATCAGAAAGATTTCGGTCTCTGTTTCCCCTAAGTAGAAACCCACGTGACCTTGCCAACTTGCGGGATCTTGGCGCCATGTTACCACAATATCGCCGGGCGAAGGTTGATCGACGATGGTGCCGACCCGCAGCCAGCTACGTGCGGCGAGGCTAACGTCAGAGATATCGCCGCCTGCTTTTGAAACAACAAAGGCGGCAAAGGCGGAACACCAAGGCACGCTGTCGGAATAGCTGTTT